TATAAAAGTTGCCAGAATCAGAAACTTATCGTCCCGGCCTTGATAACAGGCCCTAAAACTCATGTCCGTCCCCGAAAATTATCCCGTACTCGTTCATTGCACGCAAGGCAAAGACCGTACAGGCATTGTGATCGCCCTCGCCTTGTCATGCGCCAACATCCCCCTCGAACAAATCCTCCTCGACTTTTCTCGCTCTCAAAAGGGCCTGGCCTCCCAGCGTGATACCATGGTGAAGGAAATGGCTAAAGCGGGACTGGATCCCTCTTTTTCTGATGCCCCCGAAAATGTTATGAGGGATACTTTTGGTTATATTGTTGATAAGTATGGAAGTGTTGAAGAGTATTTGGAGACCAAGGGTTTTACAAAAGTTTGGAGGGAGAGGCTGAAGGCTTGTTTGACGGCTTCGGACGAGGGTAGACAAGAGTAGATGTGCTTTAGACAGGGGTGCTTTTTTTGGGGCTGATTATTTTGGAGCACTATTGTAGATGGCAGATTATGTAGTAATTCAAGTACATGAGCGTGAATAACTCACAAGTATATACGACAAACATTCGCAAAGGCAGAGTACAATATTTGAGATGTTCCCATTGGACAATTTCTCCCAAGTTTGACTAATAATTTACAAATCCCAAGCTTTGGTACAGCCTTACAAAAAGTTTAGACAAAACCAATCACATTAGCCCAATATATTATCCTCGTTGAAAGTTTAATAGCTTTATGAGAATATCTGGTCTGGCTATGAAAGATTTGACACCAACGGTTTTGATCAGAGAGTATGTACACACTGCTAGGTATAACATTGCGCAACATACCTTGCTCCCCCCACATAACAGTTCCATTCGATTTTGCTACCCGGTTCTTGTCAACATTCTTGTAGATCTCTGGTCTCTCTATCGTCAAGGGAGAGCATGTCAAACGATATGAAATCATTTAAAACATGATTTCGTCCAATGTTGCCCACCTGACCCCTCAGGATCTTGCATCCTATACTGCATTGCCATCCACGCTACAATAAAAAATCACGGTTTATCCCCTGCTTTTCGCTCCACCTGCGCATTTGTCAACGTACTGTCATTTAGATGCTGTGCAGCTTCTTTGTGGTTGAAGGCTAGTGTCAAGAGGGATTTTGCGTCAAAGGATTTTCCTCGAGCTAGAGTTTGTATTGATGTTTAGTTGGACGGAGGCTGCTGGCGTGCGGAAAGCAACGGTACTGACCTCTTGAGGTATCCCTTGACATGATGTAATTGATTGTGAGATCGTGACAATATGGGAGGGAATGGGGGAGTGGGAAGGGTGGATTTGGAGCGTGCGCAGTAGATGTGGATGGAGATTGGTTTATCAAGCGGTGCTGGGGATAATAGTGATTCTTTGTCAAGATGGGATGCGGAAAGGACCCAAAGGCGGATGTCACGGTCCGTTGGTGGATTCGAACCATGTCCTTTTGTTTGGATTTGGTTTGGAGCTTGTTGAGGAGTGCGATACTCGTACTGTAACCTCACCATCAACTGACGAGATTGGAGGTAATAAGATGGGCGCCCAAAGCTCAAAAGCAGCACGGAGGTTCCCACCACGACCAACCTCAGGTGCATCTCCATCCACACCAACACCTACGCCGACAGCGACACCTTCCGCCGCCCCACCTCACATGAACCTCGGGCCTCATCAACCACTACATGCCAATCAAGCTACGACGGCATCCACAGAGACAAAAGAGGATCCCCGAGAGGAGCATAAGCGACTGTTGGAGCATTATCAACAGATGGCTTTTGATGTGCATTCTATACCCAAGCGAGAGTACAGAAAGGTGGGATACCATTGTGCCAAAATTCACAATTTATGCATTCTCCTGACACAAATGTACGACAACAGGACAACGAACTTCTCAACATTCTGGCAAAACGCGACCAAAACACTGTCCAAGACCAACGCCCCCCATCCGCCCAAACCCTTCCAGGTACCCTCAGAAGACTACCTACCCGTGATATAGCAGATCTATTTGCCCTCCGACGCATGGCAGGCCCTGCTGCATGGCCTCCATCCAAACTGGCGGAAAAATATGGATTGGATGAAAAGATAGTGGACATTTTGTTGAGATATTATAATACCCATGAGACGGTTGGGATGGCGGGAGGGAGTGAGCGCATGGATGGGATTTGGGTGGAGGATTTGGTGGAGTTTCGAAAAAGGGAGGCCAAAGGAAAAGGGGGTTTGTAGATTGTATTCGAACTGGGATTTGGTATCTTAGTGTGGAGGTGATTGAAAATGGCACTAGAACTCATTATTATCCGGATTAATCCGGTTAGTCATATCGCATAATCAGCATCCCCTCTATCACTCAGATTGGTGTGGCATGCATGCTAATGTTTTTTTTTAAACTGCGGTGAGGCGCATGTCAAAGGTCTATAAAAGGGGGGCCTTTTGCTGTCTCTTTCCTCTTTCCTCTTTACCCATCCTCAACTCTCAAAGCATCTGCCAAACACTCAAGCAACTCTCAAGTCCATCATGAGAGTACTGCTCTGGTGTTGAGGACCTCACCCTCCCAACTACAACAACAACATAACCCCTTGCAAATACTATTATTACTATGCTGCAACAATCACAGGTATTTCTTGCTGATTTTCCCACGCCTGTATTCCGAGTCTAATTCTGATCTACCTTAGTATCTGAACATCCTCCAACTAAAGAATTTCGGAAGGATTTCTCTCGTGTGGTGGGCTTAGTTACCCGGTTAGAACAACCGTAATGTATTGCATGTGTAATTGGGCCTAGTGGTAGTTAGTTAGTGGAATCGTGCTGCTTTTCACGTACCCCAGTTCAACCCAGGCTGGAACCTGTCGCGAGTTAGGATAGGTTATGAAGGGTTGGATAGGCTGGCTAATTGTAAATTAGAACCGGCTGTAGTGGGTTGGAGGGAGAATTTGTCCCTAGTGACATTTTCTACCACCTGCACAACTAATATTTATATCGAATGCATTGGGTGGACTGCATTCAAAGCCGCCCTGAACGTTATTCACCTTGAATGGAACACGTGATTAGCGAACCAGTGTCAGCCAACTGTCAAAGATCGTCCACAGATCTTGCACCTAGAGGTTGACATTCCACCGCGACGGAATGGCAACTTTTAGTAGATTACTTGCCCGCATGGGCAACCATATGAACGTTCTCACGAAATGTTCAAGACCCTTTGTCACATCGTCTTCTGTGGCAGCCTGGTCAGGCACACCGAAAAAGCAGTACATCAAACCCTCCCCTCCCAGTAACCTACCTCCAAAGTCATCCGAGCCTCGTGGTACGGAAAAACGAGCCGTAAGAGCCGAAGCACTGCGAAAGGGGCCCTTGGCCACTGACTTGTTCACTGGCAATGGCCAACAAGGACAAGGTTACTACAAAAATGTCGCGACCGAGCCTCTGTCAAAGGAAATTGCTACAAAATTAATGCGACCTGTGAAGGTAGAGGACCTAGAGATTGACCCTGGTAGGTGCAAGTGAATGTGATGTATTCGGTATGTGGAGCTTCAACATGCGCGTTCACTCTAGATCGCGGATACGTGTATTTGAAAGAGGCCACATATAGAGAAATGTTGGATGACGCTTTTGGACAAGATGGTACATTTGGAATATTTTTTCCATCGGATTTTTACCATGTCTTACGATGATTGCAGGGTGGAAGCTAGTCCCCGTAACCCCATTTCAAGAAACCAGTAGCGGAAATGTCGTGTATCGTGCATACACACTCATTGTCAACGACCGCTTTGTCTCTGAAGCGATCGGTGATTGGTCTGTCGCCACAGCCGGTAGCAGGGCTGCCGCTGAAGCAAAGTGCGATCACGCGGCGTTGGTGCGCGTTGGAAAGGATCTTGGCATGGCCAGTGAGCTCTGGGATCCCGTGCGGAGTAACCAATTGAGGGATGCGAAATTCACACAAGAGTGGATCGTGGATCCAAAGTTGGGCAGCAAACGGAGAGTGTGGAGGGAGAAGAAGGTGTCGAAGGCTCCCGGATTTTAATGTAGAGCGAGTCAGTCTTCCGAGACGGCTTTTGCGTACCCATTTTTTGTTTTATATGTTCATTTTACCTGTATTTGGTGTATAAATGATATATTTTGGATCCTGCTATGAGGTTTTTGAGTGGAGTGATCAATCTCGTGCACGCCTGGCAAAAATCAGTTAGGATGAAGCTCATAAAATGCAGCAGGTCCCTCGATGGATAGTTGATTTAAAACCACCATAGAACAGGCCAGTGCCATAAATGCTTTGCTTTTCTCCAAAATGGTGGGTAATGCACATTCCAAGCCGTCTTATTATTATTAAATTACAGTCCAATGAAGTAGCAATTTACAAACTTTGCAAAAGTATAAAATCGGTAATGTTGCCTTCTCCATTCTCCAACCGAGTAGGCTAGGACAATGGGCACCGACTATTTATTTCAAAAGCGCATAGTGAGGGTGTTCAATGAGAAAAGAAAGGCACAGCTGTAAGGGGTGTACTTGGAACTGCGGCCCCTCCAGCCCCTCCATTGAGAACCGTCGATGATGAGGCTGTCGTGCCGCCTGATGATGCACTGCTTACACTCAATGTAGGTGGTCTCTTTGGTTTTCCAACCCCAGCATCATTTCGTCCTGGCACAGCTGTCTCCAATCTTGATATGGACGGTCGCTTTTGGTGTCGATTTTCGGGTGGAGGGAGGAGAAGGGTTTGATCTGCGCTGGTCGGTGGCGTCGATTGCGGTTGATTGTTTTGAGTGATGTCTCGGAGGCGCTGAAGGGGATGATCTAGGCCTTGTGTTAGGCTGCTCCAGATGAAATTGAATTCGGCGTCAACGTTTGCGCGGACTTGGGGGTCGAGACTAAAGTCGCTAGTATGTACAAGGCACGTACGTGTCAGCTTCTCCACAAATCTGGTATTATATATGTAGAATCTTGCCGCACTTACATATAGTGATCGTTTCCACTATCCGCCTCCAGTCGTGCAACCTCGACAATGCCGCTATCTTGCGATCCCAATCGTTCTCGCATCCCAACGGACCCAAACACAACCTTTAGAATCACACTTTGATGTACCACTACAAACAAAAGAAAGAGAGACTTGAAACTCGGTATGAAGTTGCAAACTGTAAGCCGGGCATACACACATTCCCGATTTGCTCTCGCTTACCTCCATTGACCTCGCAATCCTCCCCCAACCTGATTACATCCCCTTCATTTACTTCCACCTTTCGACTTTCTTGTCCTTGCGGACTCAACCGTTGTCCATTTACGAACGTCCCACTAGAGCTTTTTGTATCTTGGATCCAAAGCTGCATGGTGTTTCAAGGTCACCTTTACCAGCCCTATCATCTTAGTGCAAGAGAATTTGACATTTTCCGCCCATCACAAAATCCAATCATGGCATGTTGTCGCGAAACCACTTTCGACGCAAACTTTAAACTGGTGGCTCCTGGATCGTCCTTATCCAACAGTCGCCCTATGGACATGGGTTGTCCGAGGTCGACCACTCTTCGGTTGCGTGTGACATTGTTGAGAGGGATAAAGGAGACTGTGTAGGGGTGATCGGCTGTACATGGAGTAAAGTGTAAATAAGCTAGTTAAAGGCGCGCATTAATACCAAGGCAGCTCACCATTAAGGTGTGTGCTGTCCTGCATCATGTCGTGTATGGGAGATCCTTTTGTAGGAAGGATATCGCCAAGGAAATTGTGCCGGAAATGTGTGTTGGTTCCGGTTACTAACGTCGAGTATTACCTATCCCGCAAAGGTAGATGCAAGACATTACCAGTCTTACGCTCGCTTGCTCACCTCGACGCCTCCAACATCAAGGGTATTCCTCCTGGAGTGCTGGTGTTTTGATTACGGCAGCAGCACACTTGAGGCTTTGCCCAAGCGCGGACAACACGCGTGGCACACACCAATGGGGTCGTGAGCACACGGAGGTCCCGGAGACCAGTTGATATCACGTTTGGGGCAACATGCAAGTGGGCCCTGTGGTTCACACACAATCGGTGAGCCCTTGGGTTCGTGGCATCAATTTGGATATGCGAATGGATTGGGTATCGCTGATGAATTTGGTATCACACTTGTTGCACGTTAGTATGGACGTTGTAGAAAAGCACATTTTGGCAAGCGAGCATTTCTTGGGCAATGTGCAATGTAAAGAAGATCCTATTATGTGCTCACAACTGCGGGAGGATCCGCTTTTAGGCAGGTTTTTCCGCTTGATGACGACAACATTGAAGCACCAACATGACCAATAAACCTTGATTTTAAAGGTTAAACCCATCAGTTTGACGTCCATCTTTAAGCTTTTTTCCTTCATGCGATCCTGTATTTGGTCAAGTCATGCTTTTGCTGATCGTCCTGAAGCGTTTGGTGTGCAAACTCGCAGTTCTTTATTGGTAAAAACATGTGGCGTGAATTGCATAGCAACGCGGTCGTTATGTACGTTTATGGAAGCGGCAAAAGCGGAGGAACGCTGTCCGCACCACACGACTTTTGGACGGTCGTGCGTTATTACTGTTTTATCCGCCTTTAGAGCGGGCTTTGTATTATATTACTCCTACTTATGGATCGAGAGTGTGTCCAAGCCAAATTTCAAATCCACCTATTTTCTGGAATTTTAGTTTTTCAACAATGCCTCCATTAGTTCCAAACTCTGAACAGATCCCCTCAGAACAACCTGGGGATTCCGAGACGGTCAGCGACATTCCACGAGTGGCTATCGTCGGATCTGGTCTTGCAGGTTTAAGTGCCGCATATCTCCTTTCTGTCAATGGCTACACAGTCGATCTGTACGAAAAGAGTGGGCGGTTGGGTATGGCTGCGGCCAATGTCACCGTTCCAGGAGTTGAGGGCGAGGAGGAAGTGGTCATGGATGTTCCCATGCGATCGTTCTTCCCTGGTGAGCTTCCTTTGAAAGACGGTTCTTTCGAAGCTGTGGAAAATGTCAGTTCTAACTGCGTTTTATCCAGAACACTATTCGCACCTAACCGCACTGTACAAATATCTGAAAATACCTTATCATGCATCAGAGAATAGCATGTCATTCTCAACCTACGTGCCCATAGCAAAGTCCTATGCGGAACAATCGGCGGCTTCCCTGGACACCGCACCCTATTTTTCCTTTTCTTGCTTTAAGATACCTTTCACATCCGTTTCAATTTCCTACCCGGACTTGCCTTCACCATTGGCCTTTTTAAGCGCATTGTTTCAAGCTATCACATCAGCGATATATGCGTTGCGTGTGATGTTTGGCTACGTAAAGCTTTTGGTGGTCGTCAAGTACCTGGCCGCAAGGGGCCAGCTGACACCCCAAGGACCATTGAAAAATGTCACATTAGGACAATTTTGGGATTTGTATGGAATCGGCATGGAGTTTGTTGAGGGGGCTTTTGAACCACTGTTCTGCGGTGTTTGTACGTGTTCAACAGATGTATTGAGAGGGTTCCCTGCTGTGGTCATACTCGGTAAGAATGCCGGTTGCAGTGCGTATTGACAAACTTGGACTTGTACTGACAGCTTGTACTTCTCAACAGAATACGTCGCGCGGGCTATGCCATTTGGCAAGATGTCTTTTGTATCCATTGGGGTTCAATCTGTTTGCGAGGCGCTTTCCAAACCCGTCAGAAGAGTGTTTTTAAACACATCTGTTGAGTCCGTGCATTCCAGCTGCGATACAGTCGATAATCTTTCCGACCTGCTGGACTCGCCGCACCTAGTGGTGCAAACGTCAAGCGGAACACGGCGACTCTATAACCATGTGATTTTTGCAACACAGGCGAATCAGGCGGCAAAGATTCTACAGGCGTCGAAAGACTTTAAGAAAGACCTTCCGGCGCAACGACAAGTGGAAGTCCTTGAAAAATTTCTATACGCAAAGAGTTTGGTGGTGTGCCATACAGACGAAGCATTGATGCCGGCAGACAAGGAGGTTTGGCGGTGTCTGAATTTCTTCACTACAAAAGAACAGTCTTTGAGCCGCAACGAAATCGATGGATCAAAGTCATCGGGGCCCACTACGCAATCGGTTCTCCCGTACGATGCATATGCTACATCTTCCTGCACCCACTGGTTCAATCGATCCCATCCGTCCCTCGCTCACCCCAAAGCCCCAAACTATTACCAAACAACCAATCCTCATGCTCTCCCATCACCTTCGCTCACGCTTTCGAATACCTCCTTTGAGCGTGCTGTTGTGACAATGTCCAGCTGGGCGGCGCTTGAGTCTTTGGACAGTGTTCAGGGAACTGGTGGAAGGTGGTTTGTAGGAAGCTATGCTTGGGATGGTATACCCCTGTTAGAAGGATGTGTTGCAAGTTCGGTGAATGTGGTGAGTAGGATTTCCAAGCGGGACGGAAAAACAAATGAAATTCGTGTGCCGTGGTCAAATCTTGTCGGTGGCGATAGTTCGGGGCATATGGACATTCCATGGGTGGTGGTGGTCTTTGGGCTCGCAGCTGCTGCCGCGGCCGCGATGGTGACATTATCGTAGAAATAGACGATATATGATGTATAGAAATTATCTTATCCCAATGTAAGTGTGTCAGAAATACAAATGATACAGTTTCGATCGCAAAAATGTTTCTACTGTAACGTGTCTGGATTACTGGATTAACAGTCGACGCGCCTTTGAACTGTTCTCGGACTTGTTCAAAAACGCAGTCGCAACGATTCAGAACGCATTTCAAAGAACCCTCTACAGGTTTCTCGTTTCCTTTGTTGCTTGCGATAAATAATAGCGAGCACCACTCCGCTTAATGAACTTGTACATTTCTTCCACACAATGGTATGCTTTCATCTTTTTCCTTCGACGTTTTGGTAGCGGATTCACAGTTGGGACGTACTATCTAGACCACGCTGGATACTCTTTCACCGGCCGTCTTGAAACGGCTATCCAAAGGTGCTGATATGTCTTCAACATAAACGCTTACGCGAAAACTGCATGCTGAATGATCTCTCCACTGTCTTTATAGAACTGTTGGACCTCAGCAAGGATCCACCAGAAGGCATCAAGACTATACTGAACATGGATAATATCACAGATGTGCAGGCTTGGATTCAGGGGCCGGAGGGTAGCTGTTTCTAGACCTGTTTGCCAGATATCGCTAGAGTTCTAACCGCCGTTTCCAATGACGGTATAGGGACACCATACCAAGGGGGATGCTTTCGGGTAAAGTTGACTTTGGGAGGGGACTTTCCCACCGCTCCGCCAAAAGGTATTCACTTGTATGTATGTATGAATGAAGCAAAATGGGCGCTAATTGTCGTATGGTAGGCTACTTCTTGACAAAGATCTTTCATCCGAATGTATCCAAAACTGGGGAAATTTGTGTGAATGTTTTGAAAAAGGATTGGAAAAAGGAGTATGGGATTGGACATATTCTCCTGGTAACCACAGTTCTGTAATTTTGGTGTATTTCGTGCGCTCACTTGATTGTTCTTTTCTGCTTCAAAGACAATCAAATGTCTTTTGATAGACCCGAATCCAGAGTCCGCATTGAACGAAGAAGCGGGCCGTCTCCTACTAGAAGACTATAGTGCATATGCCAAGCATGCAAAGCTCATAACGAGCATCCATGGCATTAACAGAAGCATACAATTCGGAAAGCTCCAAGAAAACTGTGATGATACAGAGGCGACCAAAACACGAAGATCGGAAAAGATGTGCGAGAATACCGGACCAAACATTAAAGCGGCTGCGGGAGCTGCTGAGGTGTTGACAATCAACAATGGGGGCACGACTAGCCCCAAGAAACGAGGGGCGGATAAAAAGCTTGAGCAAGCCAAGATGGATAAAAAGAGAACGCTGAGAAGGTTGTAGATGATCTGGGATTGGCAATATTTATTTAGTCGTAAACGGGGCTTATCGTCTCCGCAAAGGCCATTTTTCCCTTTGTACACCTTTGTGCTGAATGCGCTTTATCTGGTTTTGAAAGCACACAGTTCCATCGTGCACTGTCGCACCTTTTAAACAAAATCAACTCCCAGTGGCTATGCACTTGATAAATATCCCAATTTGGACATATATGTCTTCCCTGAATTGGGAAATGACACTTCAGCATTCTATATTTCACCGGGGCGGGATTCCGACTTCCGGTAAGGTGCTTTGCCCATTGGTGCGAGATCTACGTAGGTTATCCGTAAAGCCTCATCTACGGAGCTGTGGTTGTCGGGTTGGAGTGCCTCGGCGGGAACCCGCTGGATTTTGTTTGCACATTTACACTTGCATCTCCTCGCGTCAAAGAGTGTGAAAATAGATACATATGCATAAACGAACCACGGCCAACGGCCACCAACAAAGCGGTGGATTTTCCTCAAAGGCTTCGAAATATGAAAGCTTGCCATCAAACGGGAAAATTCCGTCACTCAAGGAGGGCGGGCGCCCCTCCAACTTGCTTTTGAGCGTTGGTCTCTTGATATGGGTTGCGTTGTTGGCAACGTTTGGAATAGTGCGACACCATACCTTGCCCCAACCTTTGCCGGCAAACAGTGTTGGTGCTGATGGGATAACCCCAGTGGTAAGTTCCGGACAGAAGCTTGCAATCGACGCATAATACATATGCATAATAAATGATTGACGTGGATTGGCATCTAGTTTTCGGAAGACCTTGCTCGGGAAACCATTCGTGAACTCACAAACACTATTGGCCTCCGTGTTGTGGGGACTAAGCAGGAGGAGATGGCAAAGGAGATGATATTGGAAAAATTATACGATTACCGGAATCAGTCCAGTGACAATCCTCATATGACACATTTTGACATTGATGTTCAGATGGCAGATGGATCTCATCGCTTTGATCTTATGGGTCAAGGTAAATGCGGACTGTTTAAGATCATGCGTTAATTATGCTTGGTCATCGCTGACCATCGCTACCTGATGCAGCTGTCTTGAAAACCTACTCAAACATTACAAACATCCTTGCCCGTCTGTCATGTGGACCTAAATGCAATGAAAACGCCATACTTTTAAACTCCCACTTTGATAGCACCATCGTGAGTCCCGGTGCCGCAGATGACGGCGTAGGCGTCGCAGTGATGCTAGACCTTGTCCGCGTTCTGTCCCAAACCCGAAAACCATTGAGGAATTCCGTGATCTTCTTGTGGAATGGTGCTGAGGAGACTCTGCAGGATGCTTCGCACGCCTTTGTTACGCAGCATGACTGGCGGGATAGCATTCGTGGTGTGATCAATCTGGAAGCCATGGGACAAGGCGGCAAAGAGATTTTGTTCCAGGCTAATTCAAAACAGATGGTTGATGCCTATAAACGGGCTCCCCACCCCCACGGAAGCGTTCTGGTATGGGATATTACCACTATTTGCTTATAAGTAAAATAATGTTATGTTGACGACGATTGTCCTGCGTTTTCTAGTCGAACGATGTCTTCCGCACCGGATTGGTGATGAGTGATACGGATTTCCGGCAATTTCGGGATCATGGAGGACTTGTCGGACTGGTATGGTGCCTTGTTAAGCATACCTTGATTGGTTAAGCCTTTTTGACATGCTGGATTGTTTCAGGACATGGCGTATTATACAAATAGGTGAGTTGAGTGAACGATGCAACTCTCCAGCTTGTATTTATAATTATCAACCGCCTTATGAAGCTATCTGTACCATACGATGCTGGATGTGGAAGAAACAATAGAAAAGGGCTCCATTCAAAACTTTGGGGATAACGCCTTGGGGATATTAGATTACCTTCTATATGAGGCCGATCTCACGGAGATTGAGCAGAATGATGATATCATTTTCTTTGATGTTATGGGTGTGTAGTAGGTACGCTCGTCACTAGTGACCCCTTTTTTTGAAATGGTACCTTCCACCTTTAGGTTTCTTTTTTGTTCACTACTCGTGGGACACTGCTCATGTTTTTAACGGAATCCTCATCCTTGTGGCCGTTTGGTCTGTTCTGGTAACCTCGCCTTTCAAGAAGCTATCGCCTTCCGCAAGGCTGCGAGCTACCATAACGGTAGCTTTTGCGACAGCGGCAAGTCAGTTGGTAGCTACGGTTATATGCGCTGTCCTTGGCGCTTTGCTTTTTGCTGCCAAAGTGCCGATGATGTGGTTCGCGCGAGAGTGGTATGCGCTGGTGCTCTTTGCTCCCGCTGGGATCCTCGGTAAGCACCCTGTGGTTGCGCACAGCCTGAAATCTCGTAACCTTTGCGTTGTGTACAGGTGCCTTGTTGCCGCAAAAATGGCTGCAGAATGCCTCCATCGGACAACCCAAACTTGATGAAATTGGAAGAGCCAAGAAAGAAGTGACCGACCATGCGTATGAGAATGCTTCTGATCCTATTTTAGAAAGGGCTGCATATGATGGACTTGTGCTCTTCTTTACTGGAGCGATTTTTGTTGCTGGATGGTTCAAGATTGGTGCAGGGTATCTGATGGCTATCTATCTATCTGGACTCTTGCTTGGAAAATGGGTGGACCTCATTTTCGGTGGATCATCATCCAAAGTTCAGCATCTCCATCCACTCGTCTATTTTACGGCCTCCTCTACACTTGTGTTTACAACGGAGCTGTTAATCTGCGCCGTATATCTTTTTGTTCCAATCACTGGACGGATGGGAGCGGATACTCCTGTCGACGTGATCATGGGTATCCTGGCTGGGGGGCTCCTATTTTTTGCCATCTTCATTTTGGTACCCTTTGTGCATCGTCTTGGGCGGAGGCAGGTTAGACAGCTTATCACTGGCCTAAGTGTGTTGACGCTTCTTATGATCGCGTTCTTTGTGACGTCGGTTCCACCGTATGATCAAATGCATCCTAAGGTATGTACGCATTGTGGATGTGTTACTACGCACCTCCGTAGACTAAATTTTAACCGATGTTTTAGCGAGTCTTTGTCGGCTATAAAGAGAATGTCACAGATAACTCAAGGGAAGTCCTGCTATCCCATGCCGACCCTGCAGGTTTTCAACAGATTTTGGCAAAGGTTGAGGCCGAACTTGGGTCAAAGCCCGTGTATCGCGGAGCCTCTATGACTGACCGAGATTGGAGTTCTATCTACCCGTTCAGGTGCGTCAGGACCACGATGGTAACCAATATGACTGCAGATTAACACATCATTATTATGCAGCCACTTTATTGAAGGCTACTCCTTCAATGTCTCGCATCTCACCGCCCTAACACCTTCACCAGCCCCAGCACCGCAAATAAGCGTTGAAATAGACAGCTACGATGAGAAGACTGACCTCCGGACGCTCTCCATTCGTTGCTACTATCCGCACTACATTTGGACTGTCCTCTCCTTTGAGGGCTATGTCATTGACTGGTCATTGTCGGACCGAAGCATGGTAGATCCATCCATGCCCAAACGATACCGCATCCGCAACGCAGGAGGCTACACAACCAACTCGTGGAATCTGACTCTAACCCTCAAGGGCCGCGACAAGATCCAAATGGAGATTAGCGGTTTGGAAAGAGATGGGTTTCATGAACTTGTTGTTGGGGAACCAAAAGTCCAGAGCCATCGGAGGGGTGTCGGTGAAGCTCTTGGAAGAGTGGAGATTGGACAGAGCTGGAAATGGAGTGATCGGTGGGGTAGTGCGGCGATTTTGAGTCGAGTTGAAAGTGTTATGCCTGATTGGACGACAGGCCTTTTTGTTGGCTTGGTGGTAAAGACATTTGAGTTGTAGGTTTTTTAGGCGGGAAAATGAGTAGATTAGAAATTAGAAGAGTGGTTTTTGGGGTACGCTTTATCTTGTTTTATGCATATTCCCAGTTTTTTCTTTGTGAGATACCTCTCGCTTTGATGTGCTTTTATTGGAGATTGTATTTGACGTTTGAGTAGTCAAGTCGTGGTGTTGATAGCAGAGGGCTGTTCCGTTCTCGTAAAGAATTTCCTGACTCTGGGCAGGAAGACTGATATTTTGACGTAACGAAATCAGTTTCCTTTATACACATTTAAACCAGACCTACTATTTTGTCGGTCCTCCCCTAACCCTTTCGTGTTTGTATCTTGCTCAACATCTTCTAAATCGACCCATCTCATCAGAAGTTACATTCAAGCAATATGCCATCCCACGACCCACGATCCAGCCGCGTGAATGAACTCCCATCAGCAGCCATGCCGCACGTAGTCAAACCCTTGGCGCCAAACTACGCCGAAGAAGAACGACAAGCAGCAGACCTCAAACTCGCCTCAATAGCCAAAGCCAAAGAACAAGGTCCCGATATTCAAAAAGGATCCGAAGCAGCTCAATTGCAATCGGAGGCTGATCGGGCTTCGCGGGCTGCTCAACGGGATGGTGCGAGGGATACTAGGGCATTTCCTAATGCTTTTGCTAGTGCGAGTGATACAAAGGATGAGGAGCGGCATTTTGGGGAGATGGTGGCGGATGTGGGGCAGAGGGCTAAAGAAACTAGGCAGGGAAGGGGGTTTTGGGGTAGGCCGTTGTAAAGTTGTTTTTTCTTGTGATTATTTTGGAAAATCTATACTGCGGTATCGTTTTCATTTGCGCAAGTTTTTTTTTTTTTTTTACAAGAGTGTTGAGAATTATTTTATTTCAGAGGTAGTTTTGGATTACAGTAACTTCTAATACAGATATGGGAATCACATTATCCAGTAGGTTATGGCCACCATGAGGGCACCCAAAGCCGATGCACTACCTCCACCAACAGTCTTCACACCCGCATTCTTTTTGTTTTCGGTCGTAGAGCTGTTTGAGCCATTGTTGGGCGTCACAGTGTTGGAAGTGGGCTGATTAAATACTCGCAAGGTCTCATCTGCCACAAACTTGTGAGCAATGGTCGTGGGATGGGTGTTATCCCAAAAGAGATACGAATTCGGAGTCGGGCATGTTGTAATGAGGGAGGGGTCCTTGTTTACAGAAGTGTCCAATGCCGTTGGGGTAGTACCGGGAGAAAAGGATAAACAAGGTGCCGTAACGTTGGTCAAGTTGAAAGAAGTAGGATTGGAGATGGCACGGTTAAAGAGACTAAAGAGATCGACCAGATCAATTCTTAATCCAGGGGTGGATGCAACTAGGTCTTTGATGCCTTTTTCTAGGGCTGCATTATGTTGGGTTGAAAAGGATGTGGCGAGCTGAGCGAGTGCGTCGGGTGGGAGGCCAGTAGAGTTTGAATTCTTTGTTAAACGGGTAAACGATGGAATTTTGGCAAAATCAGGAAGGGTCATCACCACCATTCGGGAGGCTTTAAGGTTGGATGTGTGGAGGGATTTGATAAATGCGACGACTGAACCGGCGATGGTGCTCGTTACAGGTAGGCCGCCTGCAGCCAGAGTGTGGAGATAATCGTTTGCTCCGATAAAGATTGGGTAGAGTGTTGTAGTTGGGTCTGGAAGCGTCGTGGTGTTTCCGAGATACCAGGCCAGTTGTTCATTGACGTCTGGTGGATATGTGTCATTTCGAGTGGATGCCCTCAAGGGAAGGTTCTGGCGATTTGCTACAGCCTGGGTAAGATGGGTAGAGGATCAGTGTCCACGTTCCATATTGCAATATCGACGACTGTAATTGCAAATATTGGCAATGTGTACTCACTCCACCGTACGCTTGATTGACCATGGTCGCATTGTTCAGCGCCTGAGCAATGTATTCCACCCACACGGGACCATTGGAAAAGCGTCCTTGATAGTATGGTGCGACAGGGAAACCATAGATTTTTTCAATGTTGCCAGTGTCGGAAAACGAGTCCCCAAAGACGACGACAGTTTTGACGGGCTGTGACTTTTGGGAATGTGTCAATATCTGTGTAGGTTAAATGTCCTTTCTATTTTGCGCTTACATCACGACGAAACCGTGTTGCACTCGCCGCTATGAACGTCGTCAACAATACATAAAGCGTCGACGCACGAAGCAGCAACATGGTGGACAAGAGTGTCAAGTGGGCAAGAGGTGAGAGCAAACCAGAAAGGCGGACGGAAGTTCAAGTCCTCCATGTTTAAATAAAACCATCTTGCGTGACAAAAAGTCAATTTCAAAGCCGGGTAAAAAAGGTCCAACATGGGGGCCGTTTGGACGCAATTCAAGGAAATAACGTAAAAATATAAAGGGCACAAAGGCAAAAGGAAATCCAGTATTTCCCTTGTTTATTCGCCGTGGTGGTACCGCGCGAGAGACGAACGGAAAATGAAAAAATAATGGGAACTTGCAAACGAGGGGTCACTTTGAAGGTCAAACACTGTCTGCTCACTTTGACAAGGCAAGAATAAGAGCATACATTCGCATACTCCAAACAATAGTATAGTGGTGGTTTTTCTGTCAACCATAGCGAGCAGTGTCACTGAGCTGCTTTTCACTAGGAAATCGGGGTCCTCAGCTGCGCAAACTTATGGCAGTACAATAGGTGTGCAAGTGTGCAAGTGTGCAAGTGTGCTAGTGTGCAAAGTGTGCACACTACATCGTATGTGCCTTTGCATCAACCGTCCACTTGCTTTGCCGAAATAGTCCGGCTGTTAAACCCCAAAAATCAAAGCCTATCTCCCATCTGTAAATCATAGTAGACGTCTCCCATCTCCAACCGGAAACCCCCCCCCCCCCCCATATCCGCAAGATATCGGCAAAAAGGGCCATCCAAAGGTGTTCATCCTCAATCAGGGAGACAATTCGATCCCAATCACGTGAAGCCATTTATCATTCCATCCGGATATAATCAGATACCTCAACGTCGTTCCCAGTTTGCCGCTTGCTAATCCACCCATATTTTGTATCTCTGCAATTATTGCGCGACGCTTTGACATCACTCCTCTCATCATTCCTTCTTGTTTTGTTGAGCCGATTGCAAAAACCATTTTATTAAAAGTATTGGGAATTTAGATATCTTGCATATTATCATTTGCATTACAAACACATTACATTGATTAACGGATGAGTTCCGCCCATCACTTGTAAACCAACCAATGAACGCATCTCCGAATAGATCCATATCACATGAAATAAATCCGTTCCCTCCCGCATTATTATTTGTCATCGCTAAAGACACATTACCCATACTTGTGTCACCCATCAATCCAATGATATCCTTATATGGCTGCATATGGATATATGGAATATTCTATTGAAAAGAACAAGCCATACGATGAGTCATCCATGGAATAAACGGGAAAGATTATCACATAATCTATTATATCGCCACATGAACGGCTTTGGTTATTTGCCACTTTTTCTTCCCATCGATGCGCCCAGTTTCCTATAAATACCCCCTCGTCTTCACTCCCTCGCTCTTCTTTTTCAACCCGCTCTGGCTTTTTGTTCTTGTTGCTTGTTTAAAAAGGTTCGTGCTTTGGCACGGGGGTTCCCTTTTTATTTCCTTTATCGCGCGGGCAAAAAACGTGCTGTGGCATCTCATCAACTAGGTAAGATTTGGCTTATCGCTAAATCATCACCCACAAAAGAGTGAGAGAACCATATGGTTTTTGGGTCTTGTCAGTGGGTGGGAATGGAGTGCACGTTTCGTTGTCGCGTCTGTCCTCCGCGAGGAAATGACGACATTGGCTAATCATCTTCCGAGATATGAAATATATAAAGTTCTTGTTTGGAGGGCTTGTGAACAAAAGGCTATTGGAAAAAAAGCTAAAAGAAGAACTGTCGTTCTTGTTTACTTGTCTGATGGATGAGTAGCTTTGGCTCCCTACTAATTGTTCATATATATATTCTCTTTAAAGGGATTTAATCATTACCCACGATCACCCGCTTTGAACAAATGTCCAAACCCGACCCCCACATAACGATGGATATGGATCAAATCCACAATCCAAATTCAAGGAATTACCTGTCGGCTGGCGGCAACGGCCATACGGATCACCCACCGAATTATTCCTCTAACCCAAGCACGACCATTGATATCCACGAAGACCAGCACACGCCGGCGGACGGCAATGCCCACAAGCAGGAACCTCATCCCGAGGATATTGAGCAGCTTCTCAAAGAGCTCGAAGCAGAAATCACTGACAAGACGCATTCTGGAGAACAAGAGGATGCTGAAGAAGAAGAAGGCCAGAAAGCTATTACCGTATCCGAAGATCTCTTAAGGACAGACCCCAAAACCGGATTGACCACGGAAGAGGCGGACAAGAGGAGAAGAAAGTTTGGCCCTAATCAGCTTGCAGAGCACAAGGAAAACATGTTCTTAAAGTTTTTAATGTTCTTCAGCGGACCGATTCAGTATGTCATGATTGTAAGTATACAGCTCCCATCCGAATTCTCTGGCGCTTTAAATTAGTGGTGATTAATTACACGGCATCTGTAGGCTGCTGCTGCACTGGCTGGTGGATTACAACACTGGGTCGATTTAGGAGTTATCCTCGGACTCCTTCTCCTCAATGCCGTTGTCGGATTCATGCAAGAATACCAAGCTGGCAACATTGTCGCCCAACTTAAACAGCAGTTGGCATTGAAGGCTACTGTCGTTCGTAACAGCAAAGTAGTCGACATTGAGGCTGTCGATATTGTTCCAGGTGATATTGTCAAGGTCGATGAAGGTACCATTATACCGGCGGACGGAAGAGTGTTGGGCGAGAATTGTTTCTTGCAAGTTGATCAGTCAGGTATGCTGCCACATTGAGCGTAATGCGACTCTGCTTTTTTACTCATTGCCCAACTCTGCAGCACTTACTGGTGAATCCCTTGCTATCGAAAAGCACCACAATGACGACTTGTATTCGTCCTCGGCTATCAAGCGCGGCCACGGCTTCATGGTTGTTACAGCCATTGGCGATCATACCTATGTCGGTCGCACTGCGGGATTAGCGTCAACCACCCAGACCCGGGGCAAATTCACAGAAGTTCTCAACTCTATCGGTTACATTCTCCTTCTACTGGTTGTTTTCTGGATCCTCGCGATTTGGATTGCTGGCTTTTTCCGTAGCTTGGGCATTGTGGACTTACTGACGTATGCACTGATCATCACCGTGATTGGTGTTCCTGTTGGTTTGCCTGCGGTCGTTACCACCACGTTGGCAGTCGGCGCCGCGTACCTCGCAAAGAGGCAAGCCATCGTTCAACGTCTTTCTGCGATTGAGTCGTTGGCAGGTTGCGAGATCCTCTGCTCGGACAAAACGGGTACCTTGACCAAGAACAAGCTCGTCCTCCACGAGCCGTATTTGATGGACGGAGTCGATGCCGATACCCTCGTTCTCGTCTGCGCGTTGGCCTCTTCACGAACCAAGAAGGGTCTCGATGCCATTGACAAGACTGTTATGCTCAGTTTGCTCACGCATGACCGCGCCCGTCAAGAAATCAAGAGATACAAGACGCTCGAGTTCCAGCCCTTTGATCCCGTTACGAAACGAATTGTAGCGGTCGTCGAAGATGATGAAGGAAACCGTATTACATGCGTCAAGGGTGCACCTCCTGCTGTACTCAAGTTTGTCGAACAAGATCACGCCATTGACCGCAAGGTTCTCAAGGAATACAATGAAAGGGTCGCCGAGTTTGCATCTCGTGGATTCCGATCTCTTGGTGCTGCCTGGAAGAAGGGAGACGAACAATGGGAAATCCTCGGTATCCTCTGCTTGTTTGACCCACCTCGCGATGACACTGCAAGGACTGTAACTGAAGCTAAAGAGCTCGGGCTCAAGGTCAAGATGCTTACAGGAGATGCCGTCGGCATTGCCAAGGAAACTGCGCGCCAACTTCAGCTCGGTACCAACGTCTATAACACCAAGAGACTTGTCGGAGGCTCCCTGTCAGGATCCGAGTTGAACGACTTTGTGGTTGCAGCCGATGGTTTCGCGGAAGTCTTTCCAGAGCACAAGTACATGGTAGTTGATATCCTCCAAAAGCGTGGCTTCCTCGTTGCCATGACGGGTGACGGTGTCAATGACGCACCGAGTTTGAAAAAGGCCGACGCGGGTATTGCTGTGGAAGGAGCGTCTGACGCAGCAAGGACGGCTGCTGATATTGTTTTCCTTGCACCTGGTTTGGGTACTATCATTGATGCTATCAAAACATCGAGGCAGATCTTTCACCGCATGGTACGTTGTTGTCGTGGATGCACAACTAGTATTTCGGGATATTAATGCAGCCTAATCTACCCTTTATAGTACTCTTATGTTGTCTACCGTATCGCTCTCTCTCTGCACCTGGAGATCTTCCTTACTACATCCTTGATTATCCTTGACGAAACGATCAACGTCCAGCTGGTTGTGTTCCTCGCCATTTTTGCGGATATTGCCACTCTTGCGATCGCCTATGACCGTGCCCCGTTCTCTACCGAACCTGTCAAATGGGATCTTCCTAAAATCTGGGGTTTATCCATCGTCACTGGTTTGCTGCTCGCTGTCGCAACTTGGGTACTTTACGGCACGCTTTTGATCGATGGAAAGGGCATTGTCCAAAATTACGGTGGATTCCAAGAGATCCTGTTCTTGGAGGTCACCTTGACTGAGAACTGGCTGATTTTCATTACGCGGTCGAACAGGACGTTGTGGGACACGTTACCTAGCTGGCAACTGGTTGGTGCTGTTCTTATCGTTGACATTATTGCAACGCTCTTTGCCATCTTTGGCTGGTTCACTGGCGTTCGCACCGATATTGTCACTGTTGTCCGTGTCTGGATCTACTCACTCGGTGTCATGGCGATCATCTCTCTCATCTATTACGGCCTTGCCAACTCCAAGATTTTCTCCAACCTCGTACGCGGTCGTATCAATCGTCGTCAAAAGAACAAGGAAGACTGGCTGTATACCCTTGAGCGTGTGTCCCGCATGCACGAGCAGTCTAGCTGGAAGCATCAGCCGCGCAGGCGCCGCCGTCCCAACGATGACGACCTTTCTGATGTTGAAGAGGAGGACGATGACAGCGGATCGACAGCGGATGATATTGGCGTTCCTCCACCTCGCAGTGCGCGTAGACGTCCCTTGACGTGGAAGGACGAGGACTCTGGAAGCCATCTTGCAACGCGCCAGTTGAGGACGCGCAAGTTGAGTGTCGATCCTGATATGACCGATTCTGAGGATGAGTCTGCAGAGGCCATTAAAAAGTTACTTTAAAAAAGGTTGACACCAAACATTATAGAACGTGTTTTTTTTTTGCTGGGGCATTGGTTTGAATAAAGAAAGCAAATATATCTCATTGTGTATTTCAAAAATCGGAAAATATATAAACTCGTAAAGAGAAAATCAATGTGCATTTTTGTTTTTTTCTATACGTGATTTAATGAATCTGACCTGACGGCTTTGTTGGCGATAACTTTAATTTTGATTTTATGCATTCTTTGAGGGGGGTCATGAAAAAAAAAAAACAATATCAAAAAACGAAATCCCACTGTGTGTTGAAAGTCGGAACCAGCCATTGAGTCACAATCTCAAATGAATTACGTAGTGTGGCGCAATCCCATTACGTACTGATGACGATCATCCCTCGTGCAGGCAGGAGAGGTGGTTTTTCTTGTGCATTTGGGCTTTTTCAGGTTTCCGTTCCCTGACTGCACACACACACACACACACAGAGAGATAGACAAGGGAAAACGGGCCAATAGGACAAGAACTTTAGAATGTGTTGAAAATAAAAAATATTGGCAGATCGTTGGGGGTAAATACCAGCAGGAACGGAATAGAAAAGAGTTTTGTTTTATGCCCTTTGCAAAACATTATTATAAAAAAACACTGGATTTGACTATTTCGTTGATTCCCCCCTCTTGTTCAAAATGATGCAATGCCTTCCAATAGCCACAACACGGGTTAAATACAGTACATTTAACAAGCAAGCAAAAGGGTAACATTAAAAAGACCCTTTTTGATATTTGGGGTATAGGGTGGGGAACAACAAACTAAACTGGGGGTATGTGTGGTGGTGGTGGATTTGCAGCCGATCAGTCGATGACGACGTAATGCGGTAGTGTGTGTGTTAGTGGAAGGGGGGGGGGGGGGGGGGGTGCTTGTGTGTTTCTTGCACTCTGCTTACAGAACACTCTTTCAGAGACGTACACACACAGAGAGAGAGAGAGATGGGGATTTGAATTTGTTATTACCGTTTGGAAGAGAGAGAGAGACGGAATTTAATGGCATATGGATAAACAACACTTTTTGCCACTTAAGTTTGTCGTATATATGTTAAAGTGACGACAGAACAACGAAATTAAAAAAATACAGCCTTTTCCTTCTATCTCTCTCTCTTTCTTACTGTTCAAGCACTTTTGAACGCCACATTGTGTGTATTTCTTTTTTTTTTTTCTCTCCCCTCCATTAAACATCTTTTTGGCACACACTTTGTCATCGTCGTCGTCTCTCCCTCCCCCACAAGATTGATTTTGTTGATTACTTGTTTCCCTCTCCCGACGTTGGATGAATGACGGTGGTGATGACGCATGCGTCTGCAACACTCTGAAATTTAGGGTTATTCATCCCAAGGGACAACCTTTTTAGCTGCATTATTGTGTGTTTTGAGAGGTGCTATCTTGTGTGTGCTTTCTTCCGCCGTATTTCTTTTTTCTTTTTGGTGCCATCGAGTTATTCGAGTTTCTTACGACGAAAGCACGTTACGTCGATCAGGCGTGTCTGCACATCCCTTGTCGGGAACAACCCTTTCACACCTCTCCTTCCATCACCTCCACTACCATACGCGGAACAGTCTAGTCTCCGCATTCGCCTAGTCTCGACTCTCCTTGGTTCAAATTTCGGTTCGTCTTGTTCGAAAATCCCGACGATGGGGGAACTCGACCATCCCGTCCCACCACCAACCCCACTATCACCACATCACTGCGCACCCTCCGCCTCTGCTCGGTCTTCGTTTTCGTCGCAAACGTCCGGAACTTCAACCTCGTCTCGGAATCAGACACGAACGCCGACACCCCCAGTCCAAGAGCCCCAGAGGACACGAAAACGAAATCTGGATGCAGCAGTATCACTGCCTGCTGATGCAACAGTGTTGAAACCACCATCAGTCATCGATGGTGGTAACTTTCACCCAAATCAGATTGACCAGCGCACTCTGCATAACGGTGCTCTCCCATCTACTACCCCCCAACTTCTTCCCCGCTTACCCCCCGTCAACGATCTCAATCTGAATTCGAGTCGTCAACTCTACCCTTGGGACATGAAACTCCCCGATATCCAACAACCGCACATCTTGAACCCGCCAGCGCATTCTGTCTCGCTACCCTCACTTGGGCCCCTAACAACCTCACAATTCAGGGACGTGGACCTGGATTCGACACGAACCAAGCGAGCACGTAAAGCCAACATGGCACCGAACCTATTAAAGCCTATTCAACCAATTCTTTCCCAACTTGTCCCGACGTTGGTAAATCCTTCATCCCTTTCCCCAGTTATGACGAGTATGCCGCAACGACAAGAGCCGCAATCATATAGTGGTCGGGATTCAGGGTCGAGTGATGACCCTCCTAAAAGCCAATCGCAAGATCATGACTCTGATTCAGAAAACGGCATAATGGATCGCGGAGCGAATGTAGCGAGTTCTTTGAAGAGAAAGAGAAATGCATCGGACGAGTACGATGTAAAAGAGTCTAAATTGGCGCATAAGCGAAAAATGAACGCAGGCATGTGTTTTACTTTTATTACTATCTGGCTTTTGTTTAGGGCGTGATGGCTTAGCCCTTTCTATTATCTTTATAGAAGCCGCTAGAAGGTGCCGAGAACGGAAAGCGCAGCGCATCCAAAGTCTCGAAGACCAAATCACAACGGTTGAACAATCCAACGCAGAACTCATTATGCGCAACGCCATTCTTGAGAACGAACGACGAGCTTGGAAAACGACCGAAACCAGTCTTCGAGACCGGGTATCCAATTTAGAAGACCGATGCAAAGAGCTGGAAGCCCAGCTGCAGAATGCAAGGATGGGATTATTGTTTCATGCTGCAAGTCAGACTGGGAGTGGGTTGGGAAGTCCGATTTCACCAGAGGCGGAGTTGGAGGAGTCCCAGGGTGCGTTGAAACAAGAGGGAACCAACAAAGTGGATACAAAGGACGAGTCAGTGGTGGAGGCACCTGTTGTGGGAACTGAGACTTGAAAAAACTGGGTTAAAATGAAAACTCTTTTAATGTGTTGATCTTACGTCAGTTTTTTCCTGTTGTAGTTGTTTTGTCCCTGCTTTTCTGTAAATATTACCTGTTTCCGGGAGAAACGTACGTTTTCCCAATCAGTATTAGATGCGTTTCATTGTTTGTCCTCGACTAAAGCCTGTTAGGACTTGTAGTCGGACAAACACCTGCACAGAAACACACATTTGGCCATAGCAGAATTTTGCACATGATTGCAATGCCAAAGAAAACTAATTCTTCTCGAGCGTTCTGGTAAGAATCATGTTGTGTTCTTCAGTGGAAAGTTTGCCATCATGATGCAAAGCATTGGATAAAGTGTCAGAAACAAAGCATCACAGCCAAGAGATTGGAATTCAGTATCTCTATAATCCACGCCAAACGCCAGAACCGTGCAATTGGCGAGGACACTCCATACATTTGCCATTCGTTAGCCCATAGCGTACCTGTGATTCCCTGATTATACCTTTCTGGACTATGTATCCAAAGCCTGCAATGTCTTTTCAAGAACAATTAAATGCTACAGATAAATTGGCGACCCGTCAAGTCGCAAGGGTGATTTTAAAGATGGCAGGATGGCATTCGGATTGAGGATCAATTTCTGATTTCATCCCCTGCGATTAGTTTCTGTATTTCGTTCCAGCTTGCAGTATGATCCGTAACTAGGAGCTTTCACCATGAATGAGCATATCTCAACTACGATATTACTAGTTTTTAAACGTTATGAAGACAAGGAAATGAGTGATCGATAAACCAGGCCGATATGTAGGTCGAACAACTGAGCAACAACCCTTCATGATCACGTGGCTATATCAAAGGTTGCTCTGAATTTGACAATTGCCAACTTTTGTTTGTACGCACTCCATCTGGGCATAGTACACTGGCCAGTCGCGAGTATGGCCAAATAAACAAAAATGTGGAGTAATAAGATGAAGATGTGCTCAAAGGCGGGGATATTTTCTCATTGGGAGTACCTTTTACAGCAAAACCGTCCATAATGTTCCCCGCTGTACAGATTGCCCCATTTTCATCGATTCAATCACCAAATATATCCCAAATCAAGAGAAATGGGTGCAAGGAAGGCGAACACTCTGTATTGTGATCGTCATTATGGAATTTATGTGGTTCCCAGTGGATTTCGTCGGGGACTTTGCTAATATTGGTTTTTTGGATGGCATTATGGAAATTAGTTGGACCATCCGTAAATTGGGGGTTGATGACAAGTGACGTCTACTTGGCTCCTACCAGGCAGCAACAGAAAGTTTTTGGCAATGAAGGAATGTTTACAGTCTTGAACTTTTTGCGTATCTGGATTTCATTTGCATGTAGACTGCTAAGCAATTTAAAAAAGGGCTGGGTAGTTAAACCTTGTCCACAATTATTTTTACCCTAGACTCGCGTGGCCTTTTGACTTGCGTTTATTTTTTGCTCTGGTTTGTTCTCCAAAACCTGGTTTTGCCCAACTTCTTAACGAAAATCTATGAAATCCACACCGTTTTACACGGTTCAAACTGTCCTCTCCTGTTGGATTTCACTCTTCGTTATTTAAAGTAATACACCCATCGTAGTCATAGTTATACCACTTCCCACCAGGAATCCGCTCAGAGAGTTAAAATTTCGGTATCAAAGCTCATGATTCTTCTATCGTGGTGCAGTCATCTGGCGATGGGACGGACTCGTATTGGTACGAAAACCAATTTTGGTTTCTTATGCACTTGCAAGTCGAAAACCGTCCCCATGAAATCAACTCTATCAGATTCGGTGTTGTCACCGTAGTCATCCGTCGTTTGTTTCTGACATAAATTACTCTCGCTTCCACCGTGCTGGTGGAGCAATTCTCAACCGTCCAGTACGTTTCTGATTGTTTTGCCAAAGTCGCCAATTTCCTTTCTCGCGAGCCAAACAAGTCTGTACGTCTACGCCCTTCAAGACTCTGTTCATTGTGCAAAAATCGAGTGGAATGGACAAGATTATTGCGGTTCCCGGTTCTTAAGTTCAATGCGATAATGTTGGCCCATGATACCCTATCTAACATCTTTGGTGCCCGTAGACTATTTTTACTAGAGAAATGACTTTGTATACTTTTGCTGGAAGAGTTTGATTTCCTGATGGAGCTCGAATAGATGAAATATTGTTACGATCCGTCTGAGGCAGAATAGGATACAATTATCCGTAGAGAATGGGCTAATCACTGCTTTCGAGGTCGTCGCCAGGCAACAATTCGCCCGCTGAAGGGCCATGTTGTTTTGGCATGCGGGTTTGCTTGACCAACTGCTTGTACAACAGGATAATGCTTGATACAAGGTGTTCTCTATGATTCGTCAGGTCAACACTATTTCTTTATTTTCACAGAATATTACAAGACCAGTGCAACTACTGCCTTTCTCCTTGCTGCCATTATTCTTTTCCAATGCAGCAGACCAAAAATCTCCTCATCTGCGCACTTGGTGGCATGTCGAGAATGCTTTTGATCTGGTTAAGTCTTGATCCCGCAGATCCGCGTGAGATCCGCCGTGATGTCCAATCTCGTCTGTTGTGTTTTCAAATGAAGCATGCACTTGCTTTAGGAGGTTCTCATTTTCGTTACCGCATTGTTCAATCTCTGTGACGCAATGTCGAAATCGGGGGTGCCGCTAGAGTAGTAGCAGGAGGACTGCTGCGTCTTAAACCTACCAGTCCATGGAAGACTGATGATCGCTATCAATGTTGTAATTGTTTATTTCTCAACACTATTATAACAAACAACTGCTGTTGGTGTTGTCATCTTGCTCATTATGGATGCCGCATGCAAGGTACATAATCTCGAGTACTCTCACCGTCCTGCTGACGGTGATGATAGCCAGATCCGCCAACCGGAGATCAGTGTAATCTTTTTTACAGTATATGCACAGGGCGATACAAAGTGATAGACTATATTGTCTTTTGATCCACCTCTGCAACTTTTGTTTTGGGCATTATGAACTATCGCTATTTGTTGCATCGCCGGGCGCCTGATGGATCTATCCAATTGTTATTGACTATTGCCAAGCTTGTTTGGACTTGGTTCTGGTGATGATTTATCGTCGTGTTTTACTGGTCGATTGAGGCTCGGGACTGCCCGACAAGGCTATTTGGATAAGAATGACTTGAAGAAAGGCGGTGTGGTCAAAGAAGATATTTTATACCAGGTATATAAGACAATTCTACCACATTTTTTAAATTTGACAAGTTGGTCTAGTGGTTTACAGATCACCTACACCTGTTATTCAGATCCCAAAAGCATCAAGACATTGATTGCTGTCATTTTACTAAGGCTGGTCGCAGCGGAAGCCATCTGTCTCGTGCACGGTATCTCACTCTCCTCTTGGCGCAATGAAGGGATCAATGCGTTGGCATCAAGTGCAAATTGGGTTAGTTTTTGTTTTAAGCTTGCTGATCAAGATTGGGTGAATACGTGGAGAGCAGCGAATTACCTCACAATCACAAACTGCTCACCATGGGCTGTTACTACTCAGGCTTTCGCTTTGGACTTGGGTTTCAGCATTATTCGTTGTATCTGGCAGGGATAGATCAATGGCTATTTCCTCCATCTATGGTATTTGTTTGTCTCAGTATTGCGGCAACTTGTGGAAAGTCACCCGATCATTCACGAACTGAGGCGTGTACCTATCATCCAATACCTGGTCTGACATGCTCGTTATATACTGGAAATGACGTTGCAAAGTATCATTACTGCTGTACACTCGAATTAGACTGAGCAAAAACAAACCCGCAGCTGGCAGTGCCGTCGCCAGAACAAGGTCAGGGATTCCGCGCTTTGTTTTTTGTGTATATCCATCGTAAAACATAATTTGACATTTCCCTTAACCTGGCCAGGCATATTAGAGAATATTATAGTTGGAACGATGCATTCATGTTTGGGAGAAGATGCCTAGAACTACGCCCATAGAGTAATGAATAGTAGTAAGACAATTTGAAACTAACTAAAGTGCTACAGCGGTAATACTAGAGAATGGACCGAAGCAGTGTAGTGATGGACTCTCAAATATATTGTAAGTACATTGAGAAATTGGAAAAATGTATAATACGAAAAAGAAAATCCTACGCTATGTACGAACACTTGGTACAGCTCAAAATACCCGTTAATCCTTGATTGAGAAAAAAAGCAATTCGCGCGAGCCAAGTCGGTGTCTGCTCCAGGTTTTTGTTTGTAAACCCTATACGAGACCAAAAAGCAACCTAGGACCCAATGTTCCAAAGTAAAAAGACGGTATTTACAGGTGTACTTGCCAAAATAGATTGTCGCGAAGAGTTTCTTATTTCAATGGGTTCTTGACCATGAGAGAAATCACCTCAAACAGCACATCGGCAGCCGCCTAATAAAAGAGTTGGTTAGCATGGGGAACTAATCTAGGCATCGTTCATATACACATTTGCTTACCATGGTGGTCAACTCAGCGTTGGTATCATATGCTGGGGCAACTTCGACCACATCAGCACCGACAAGCTTCACGCCGTCCAAAGACCTGATAATGGTGCGAAGTTCCCGAGTAGTCCAACCACCGGTTTCAGGCGTGCCAGTTGCAGGAGCAAATGCAGGGTCCAGCACATCAATGTCGATGGAGAGGTACACCAAATTGTCGCCTACTGCCTTCTTGATCCTCTCGGCAATGCCCTTGGTACCAATCTCATCAATGTCACGGGCTTCGATAATGTGGAATCCGCATAGTGCATCATTGTCGTAGTCAGAGGGACCTGAAAGTGTGGGTACGGATACCAGCGTGGATGGAGCTTCCGTTTTTGATCAAACCTTCCTGAGAGGCGTGGTAGAAATACGTTCCGTGATTGTAAGCGCCCTGCTCCGACTTTTTCCCACCAAACACTTTTGGCTTCCATGTGTCGATATGGGAATCAAACTTAAAAAAAAAAATGTAGCAAGGTGAGATATGGTCAAAGTACTAGGTAAGGTAAGATTGACGTACATGAACGACGGAAACGGGTCCATAAGCCGAAGCGATACTTCTCAAAATGGGCAAAACAATGGTATGGTCTCCACCAAGAGTCACCAGACGAGGGAATTGAGCAGCAAGCGTACCAGGGAACAACCGATGTGCGGCCGGTGTACGATGCAACAATTCCTTGTGTCCATACTGCATTTGTTCAATGGCCAGAGCATTGTCGTAGGGTGTGACTGGGACGTCACCACAATCTATTATCTTTGCCCAGCTGTTGAAAGGGTTGACGTTTTGGGGAACATTGTAACCCTGTCATGAATACAGCGATTTTAGTAGATGCTCTCATAAGTTGAGTAAAAAGTTACGGCAAAACTCACCCCGTAAAGAACAAGTCGCTTACTGCCCTGTCTAATACCGGCAGGTCCGAACCGAGCACCGGGACGGTAGCTGGTAGCAGTATCGAAAGGCAATCCAAGAATAGCAATATCGTAGTCAACATCCTTGTCCTTCCAACACCTCTCGCTCGGAAGGTGTGCAAAAGTTGTAATGCCAGAGAAAACACTACATGATTTTCAATTAACATTGTGTGTCAAAAAAACAAACGTTAACTGATCGTGCAAGGATATCAAACTTTTACCTGTCAGCAGTAACTTCACCGTCACCCGGGATAGAATGCTCAGCAGAACCCTTGTTGAAAGTAGATTGACCGTTCATAACCACTTGATACAGGTCGTTCCCTCCATGTGGGTAAGCACGGCCTTTACACGAGAAATAGGCTAATACAGCCAAACTGCTTAGAAGCGCCGAAGTGAGCATTGTAGAGATGTGTCGAGGTAGAGGTAGTGGGACGATCTTGTACAAGAACTCTGGCATATGGAAGATGGTTGAGTGTGGGGTTGCATTTTATAGAAAAAAAGGATATAATGAGGTCGGGTAAAACCGTAGAAAAGACAAGAAGTCAAGATAAGATGGAATATTGGATGAAATAAAAGTATTTGACGATTCTGTAGGCCAAAATCTCCTTTGTAAAAAAAAAAAAAGTTATAAGTAGGTCAAGTCTAGTTGGTTAACTTTTGCCTATCTTTTAATTATTTCGTAAAGAGAAATACTTGAGTGTTATCAAATATTATTACATAACGGGATTTTTGAACGCGGTCCCGATCGGCTCGCTTTTCGATGAGACCATCTTTCTTTAAGCAAGATATCCGATAAGCACAATGCGTAGAGACAAACGTTTAAGACATTGTATGCTTCAGATACCATGATAAAGTAGTATCTTCAGAAATTACAAAAAAGAAAATGGGCAGGCTATAATTGGAAGGGGAATTCAGCTTAACCCCATTTACATGGCTCGGAAAACTTTTAAAAGTCGAACATCCTTTTTACTACCATTTCCAAAACAACAATCATCTAGAGTTTCTTCACATTTTAATCCTCCATCTAGTAGAAGTATATCCGGCATTATGACTCTATTTTCCCGTGAGCTTGAAGACGG